CAACCACCCCTGGGTGGCATGCACCTGCACGACCTGAGGCTCGATGCCGACGAGCTGGGCCTAGCCAAAATCTATAGTTGGGCTACACTTGAGCTAGCCCGGAGGAGCAAAGGGCCTTTGTTGGGTATCTCCCCAGTACGCAGTAGGAGATGAGGCATGATGCTGATGGGCCAAAGGCGCAACACCCTGCATATTAGCAAGTTGTGGATTTGAATTTTGTTTATGCTCGAGCAATGTCAACACCGAAGTGAGTTGTCTGCATAGGTATAGGGGTAACTGCATGAGCTCCAGACGACGTACTATCACCTTCATCTTCGGCGTTTCTAGCTTGCATCCCTATCCTGCATATCTTCATCATCGTTTGCACCATGATCAGGTCCATCTTCATGGCGTTCCCAAATAAGAGGTGTGAAGTCATGGCCAGGGACATAATCCTCCTCCTCCAACATATAACGAAAAACATATCCATTGAGCTTCACATAAACATCACAAGAGATAGGCACCGTTACACCCATACTCTTTGATAATTATGTCTTTGGAATTCACTGCAACCTGGATTCACACAATACCATGTCGACACAAGTAGACCGGGTCAACATACTGAGTGACGTTAATAACTGGTCCCATCGACCACAGACCAATGAAGGCTAGAGAGTTGGGACGCTGATGACATGTACCCAAACTGGTTGCAGTGGGAGTATAAATGAAGTCTCCTCAACCTTCCGTTACTTATAACAATCATCACGCCATTGGACTTGACACGGAGGTCAAAAGCTACCACACTGAAATATCTTCGTGGATAAAAAAGAAACGAAGAATGCAACAGCTCCATGAGGAACAACTTCGTACTTCCACGGAGTCTAGGCCTGAGGCAACCTTAGCAACCTTGGCCTCCACCACGAAGCATACAAGGAACCACCAGAAATCTTGACCAAAGTTGGGGGTGCGAGATGCTCCTTAAAAAGCGAATCTAACAAGATGAACATTGCGTTATCCAGCGGCGCGGCGGCGGTCTCGCGGGGCGGCGGGGTGGCCTGCTGTGGCGGCGCTCCGGCGATCCTTGGGCTGCGCGCTGCGGGGCGGCTGCGGTGCTCCCGTCTCGGGAGGTGGCGCGCGACCGGTCTCGGGCCGGATCCGTCCGGATCTGGCTTCGGGGGCCGGCCGGTGGCGCCTGGCTCCGGTGGTGCGTGCCCGGCGGCTCCGTCGCTTGGAGCCCACCGGGCGACGCGGGTAGCGCAGCGGCCGGGCGTGGCTGCTGCTCCGGCCGTGGGCGGCGACATGGGTAGGTCTTGGTGGCCTACCGGTGTCGTGGCGGCTTCACGGTGACTCGACGGATCTCTCCGCGGCAACGGCCGGCTCCTCCGGCGTCGGTTTGTCTGCGTTCGGGCCGTCTCGTCCTTCACCCCATCTCCTCGTCGCCCGGGCGCTACGCCCATCAAAGGGCTGGTCCTTTCCCAGCTGCGATCCACCGCTCGTCTCGCGCCCGATGCCGCAGGACAGAGCTCGTCTCACGCATGATGCAGCAGGACCGGGCTCGTCTGGCGCACGATGCAGCAGGACCAAGCTCGTCTCGCGCCCGATGCAGCAGGACCGAGCTCGTCTCGCGCACGATGCTGCAGGACCGAGCTCATCTCGCGCTTGGGGTAGCAGGATGGGTCGGTGGATGCTGGTTCTGGCCGACCTATTGGGTCTCGACGCTGGGGGTTGCCCAGGGGCGCGAAAGATGGGACCTTTCTGCTCGTCTCGTTCGTTGGGGTGCGCCGGGTCACGGGTGAGGTGGTGTCGAGGTCTTGGATGCTGGGGCGGCGGCCCTGGTGGTGGTGGTGGCGTGGTGCTCTTGGACATAGCCCGCGCCTTGGTGCTGCCCGCTCATCATGGCCGTGTGGGCGGCGTGGTTGCCGGGGTGTGGCGTTCAGTGGCGGTGAATGTTGGCCGAGGTGAAAACCTGCTCTATCTTCGGACGGACCGGCGGCGGCGAAGATCGCTCCCTTCTTGAAGGCGTCGTCGCGGCTCTCATTGCCTGTCATGCGGCTCCGGGGGAAACTTTGATCCTTGGATCGGGCGGTGGCGGCGCTCCGGCGTCGTTTCCTTCCTAAAGGCGCCGCCTTGGAGCGCATGGTTTGTCATATGTAGCTTCATATCTTCGGGGCGGTAGTGCTAGGAGTAGTGTTGCTGCGCTCAGCGCCTTTGTATCCCGTCCTGGGTGTGTGCGTGCATTGCGGTGACATAGCGTGTGGTTGTACTGGATGCTTGTGGGTTGTTGCTTTATATATAAAACGGGGCGAAAGCCTTTTTCTGTAACATTGCGTTATTTGATACCTGGCCACATAACCATTCAGTTAGCTTAGATTACTCCAGGGCAGAGCGGTGATATAGCAGATGTTTGTGGCTGTTGCAAATGTAGCAGTAGTGAATCATAGTATAATCCTTCGAGGGGCATATATCAGGTGCTACACACGTTACGTGCTACCATGCTATCATTTTCAAAAAAATCACTTTGAAATGTTTCAAAAAATTGCGAGTGTTTGCAAGACATAAGTCTACAATCTACAAAAAAATTCAAGTCAAAATTGTGAGTGGTTGCGGCTGGGCTACCCAGATTTTTTTTCTCGAAAAAGGGGACTCCCCGGCCTCTGTATCAGAACGATGCATACGACCACTTAAATAAATGAAATAGGTTCAACAATGTCATAGAGTCTTCAAACAAAATAAAGGCGAGCTCACAAAAAGCCTCGACGCTAAAACAAGAAAAGGCCAAAGAGCCACAACCGGCTGGCAAAATAAAGATAGGAAAACTAATTGCCTATCCTATTACATGACCGTTAACTAAACCGGTTGAAGATATCTCGCGCTATCATCTCCCACTGGACAGATCCAGTAACCAAACGCTCCCTGGCCTCCGACGGAGTGAGTAAGGACCACATACGGATCAGCGCCGTAGCACGGAATATAACCTGCAAAAAAATGAATAGTAGTTATTCTGTTAAAAGCCAAATCATTTCCGTAATTCCAAATTGCCCATAACAACGCACACACTCCTACACGAATATGTCTAGCTGTATCGGACTCTATCCCATCCAGCCACGTTCCAAATAACGACCCGACCGTACTCGGAGGAGTAATGTTAAAGGCAATTTGCACGGTGCGCCACACAATTCTCGCCAACGGACACTCAAAGAAGAGATGCTTAATGGTCTCGTCCCGATCACAGAAACTACACCTAGTAGATCCTGTCCAATTGCGCTTAACCAAGTTGTCATTTGTTAAAATAACCTGTTTATGGACAAACCACATAAGCACTTTAATTTTCAAAGGCACTTTTACTTTCCAAACATGTTTGGAGCTAGGAATGACAGTGGAGTTAATAACATTGATGTACACCGACTTAACAGTAAATTGTTCAGACCTAGTAAGTTTCCAACACAACTGATCGGGCTGTTGAGCTAGCTGGACTTCCATCAGTCTACGCACCAGATGAAGCCAAGCTTCCCATCTCTCACCAACAAGCACCCTCCGAAACTGAATATTAAGGGAATAGACTGCATAATCGTTGCAACTAGCGCATCACGTCGCTGGACAATACGATACAAGGTTGGGTACTGTAGTGCTAATGGTGTATCACCCAGCCAAGTGTCCTCCCAGAAACGTGTATCATTGCCATCACCGACAATAAACTTTGTTCTGTTAAAGAAAGTTGCCTTGACTCTCATAAGCCCCTTCCAAAACGGCGAATCAGTTGGTCTCACTGTCACCTGTGACAAAGTTTTGGACTGCAGATACTTGTTACGAAGAATCTGCGCCCAAGTAGCGTCGGTCTGAACTGAAAGCTTATACAGCCACTTACTAAGCAGGCATGTGTTCTTGACCTCCAGATTCTCGATACCCAAACCCCCTTGATCCTTTGGTCGACAAATAACATCCCACTTGGCTGGGCTACCCAGATGCATCCTCCGGTAGGTTAATCAGCAACAGATTAAAATCTTTAGTCCTTAGTGGTATCTGTCCTACATCCTCCGGTGCTTTCGAAGCTGATCTCACAATCATGAAAAGACTCGCGGCTTAGCACCCCCATTTTACACACACCAGACAGGGATTTACGCTCTAATCACCCATGTTGAGAGAGAAGCAATGCCTTTTATCTCAAGAAAGACGCGCGCAATTACAGAGACTCGTGATGCGTCTGTGCAGCCCGAAAGGAAAAGAGAGAAAACATATAATAAGATCATCAAAGGCAAAGACGGCGTACGATCTCCTTATCCATTCCCATTGCCAAAGGTCGAATGATGGCCTGCAGAGCGAGTAAAGCTCGGTTTCATATCCCCAGCACGTCTCTTCAGCAGCCGCAGGGGTCAGATCTCAGCCGTCCGGTTTCCCCTGTCCCCACCATCCATCGGTTGTTGTAGCTTCCCGATCAGCGGGCAGCCTGCACCCAAAACCTCGTAGTTTTTCCCGCGAATTCAAGAACTCGGACCTCTTTTGCATCCATATAAGATACTAGAGTTGACCTGACAATAGGTTCTTATCTTTCACTCTGGAGCCACCTCAATCACAAAAAATCAAGGGGCTCTTCTGTGCATAGTCAAAAATCTTCTCGGAGGCAGGCAGACAGAGAGACAGGTGCAGGAGTAGCACCGAAAGCCTCAACCGATTCAGCACTTCAGTTTGCTTCGGCGCTCTTCTTCTTCTCCGGGACACCAGCTGCACCCATCCGTAGTAGTTGGCCCGTCCCTGCAACCGCGACCAAACTGCCGCGCTGTAGTTCACGTCTGAATCAACCAATGCATACTACCAGCACACACCACTACTACCATTCCTCTCCTACTACTACCTGGTGGCCGGCGTCGCCATGTATTCTTATCATGGTTTCTTGCTTTCCCGCCTTCCCTTGCCTTGCACATCCCGGCAAGCGACCTACTGTTAGGCTCCATATCGAACATTAGTCTATACTCTGATCGGAAGCAAGTGTATGCTAGCTGACGCGAGTTCACCGAAGCGACGCCATGGATAAGCAGAGGCGCGAGCTCCGGCTACGGCAATCGCTGGTGGTTCCATGGGTTGTCGTGGTCATGGTGGGAGCTGCCGTGGCGACGGCTGAGTTGGCGGAGTCGGAGCTGGAGGAGTTCCGCGACGAGCGGGGCGGGCTGGTGGCGTTGCGCGACGGCCTGCGCTCGGCCAAGGACCTGCACTCCAACTGGACGGGCCCGCCGTGCCACGGCGGGCGGAGCCGGTGGTACGGCGTCTCCTGCGACGGCGACGGGCGCGTGGTGGGCGTCAGGCTCGACGGGGTTCAGCTCACGGGCGCGCTCCCCGCTGGCGCGCTCCGCGGCGTCGCGCGGCTTGCCACGCTCAGCCTGCGTGACAACGCCATCCAGGGCGCGCTCCCGGGGCTTGCCGGGCTGGACCGGCTCCGCGTCATCGACCTGTCGAGCAACCGCTTCTCGGGCCCGATACCGCGCCGGTATGCGGCGGAGCTCCTCGCGCTCACGCGGCTCGAGCTCCAGGACAACCTGCTCAACGGCACCGTGCCGGCGTTCGCGCAGGGCGAGCTCACCGTCTTCAACGTGTCCTACAACTTCCTCCAGGGCGAGGTCCCGGGTACGCGTGCGCTCCGCCGGTTCCCCGCAAGCGCTTTCGGCCACAACCTCAAGCTCTGCGGCGAGGCCGTGAACGCCGCGTGCGGTTCGGGTTCGCTCTCAGCCGACGATGGAGCCCCATCTGCCGGCAACCGCGACGATCGGGTCGTCAGGCCGGCCGACCACGACGCCCGCGGGCGGGCTGCGCGCAAGTCAAGGCGCTTCAGGCTGGCTGCGTGGAGCGTCGTGGCGATCGCCCTGATCGCCGCGATGGTGCCGTTCGCGGCCGTGCTCATCTTCCTGCATCAGACCAAGAAGTCCCGAGAGGTTCGTCTCGGTGGCCGTGCCACGCCGACAGGAGCGCCGGATATCAAGGATAAAGCTGAGCAAAGCAAGTTGAGTGGCAGCGGCAGCGGCAGCAGCAGCGGTAGCCGGAACGCGCAGGCGCAGCTGCTGTTCTTCCGTGCGGACAAGGCGGCCGGCTTCGACCTCGACGACCTGTTCCGTTCGACGGCGGAGATGCTGGGCAAGGGCCGGCTGGGGATCACCTACCGCGTGACGCTCGAGGCCGGCCCCGTCGTCGTCGTGGTGAAGCGGTTGCGCAACATGGGTCACGTGCCGCGCAAGGACTTCGCGCACACCATGCAGCTGCTGGGCAAGCTCCGGCACGAGAACGTGGTCGAGGTCGTCGCGTGCTACCACTCCAAGGAGGAGAAGCTCGCCGTCTACGAACACGTGCCCGGGCGCAGCCTCTTCGAGCTCCTGCACGGTACGTCCCCCTCGTGGTCGCAACATGCATCTCCATTTTCCATTGATAACTTGTCCATTAGTTCCATGGCGATTTGGTGAGATCGACTGATCTTGCTCTATCTTATTGTCGCGCGCGTGCAGAGAACAGAGGCGAAGGCAGGATGCCGCTGCCGTGGCCGGCGAGGCTGTCGATAGCGAAGGGAATGGCGCGCGGGCTGGCGTACCTGCACCGGACAATGCCGTTTTTCCACCGGCCGCCGCACGGCAACCTCAAGTCGTCCAACGTGATCATCTTGTCGACGCCCAGCGGCAAGCACCAGCATCCGCGCGTGGTGCCGAAGCTCACGGACTATGGCTTCCACCCGCTGCTCCCGCACCACGCGCACAGGCTGGCCGCGGCCAAGTGCCCGGAGTACGCGCGCGGCAAGCGACCGTCGTCCCGAGCCGACGTGTTCTGCTTCGGCCTCGTGCTGCTGGAGGTGGTGACGGGGAAGTTGCCGGTGGACGAGGCTGACGGCGACATGGCGGAGTGGGCGCGTCTGGCGCTGAGCCACGAGTGGTCCACGGACATACTCGACGTGGAGATCGTCGGCGAGCTGGAGCGGCACGGGGACATGCTGAGGCTCACGGAGGTCGCGCTGATGTGCGCTGCTGTCGAGCCCGACAGGCGGCCCAAGATGCCCGACGTCGTCAGGATGATCGACGAGATCGGTGGCGGCGTGGAGGAGAAAGGGAGGTGGGAGCTCGTCGTAGGATGATCTTGAGCTGTATGTAGGAGACCATTTGTGCTTCCGCGATACACGATCTCTTAGTTACCACCCGTCTTTTTGTATCTAAGTAATGTACTTTTGTGTTTCTCTTTCTTCTCGGAAGGTATCATGGCCATTCGATTGGGGCGTACTACTCCGGAGCTTTCTAATCGCTTTTGCTAAATGTCAGGCACCTCAAATTTTGTTGCAATTTTCAGTCAAAACTCTCACCGTCCATTTGTGGTGCTTTTTTTTAAGATTTTTTTTTTCCATTGTGGTGCTTTGTGCACAATGTGTAGGAACAGGTAGTTTTTTTTAAGGCAAGGAACAGGTAGTTGACTTTTTTTTTAGAAACACCAAGCTTTATTATTTGTGGTTGGCCCGACCACATGATGCCCTGATCTAAAGAATCGCTTCATGAGACATAGATTATTTCATGGTAAATTGCTTAGCACTAGTTTTAGTTGTTGCCATCATGTGTTCAGCTATGTCCTTCCCGGGAACTCCTATCTGCCGCATTTTGCGGCAGATTGGCGAGGCTTCGCATAGGGGCGGTCTTCGTCTGGGCCGGCCCACGCGGAACAGCCAGCGGTGAAAAAATACAACAAAAAGGGCTGCCTCACCCAGGATTTGAACTCCCGACCTGGCACTTGTAAATACAACACCTAACCACCGGAGCTAATGAGACCTACTGTCAAACAATCAACACGAAACCTATTAGTACTAAAAATACCGACATATCAAAATATTGTCCATTTTTTCGAACAATTACATAAAAATCTGAATACTTTAAAAAAAAAATCTGAACAGTTTTCAAAAAACAAGAACAAGTATTGAAAAAATGTACAATATTTAGATTTGTAACAAAAATTTATAACACAAAGAATGTGTGATTTTTTGAACAAATTTTGGAAAGCGGGTACGTTTTTTCAATTCCAATTTTTTGACAAATGCGAACAATTTTTGAATTTGCAAACAAATTTAAAATAGGTCGGAAAATTAGACAATTTTAAAAGTACAAAGGTCGGAAAATTAGACAATTTTCAAACAAGAACATTTTGGACAAAAGGAAACATTTTTTGCATCTGTGAACAAAAATTGAAACTCTGAACAAGATCTAGAAAAAGTGAACATTATCATCATTAATCGAATTTGTGAACGAAAATTGAAAAGCAGAACATTTTTTTAAGTTATGAACATATTTTGAAAGGCGAACATTTTCTTAAATTTAGGAACATTTTTTGAAATAGGAACATTTTTTGAATTTAAGAACATTTTTTTAAGCTGAACATTTTTTTAAATATTTGCACATGTTGTAAAAATCACTATGTTTTTTGGAACTTCTGAATAGAATAAAAAAAGGAACAATTATTAAACTCCAGAACATTTTTTCAAATTTCGAACATATTTTGGAATTCTTGAAAATAAAAATCAAAAGAAAAAATGAGTAGATTAAGAATTACAAAAGAAATAAAGAAAAGGAAAAAGAGAAATAAAAAATCAACTAGGCAAACAAAAAATTAAAATCGAGAACATTTTTTAAATTTGTGAATTTTTTTTTCAAAAAACATATTTTTAACTTTAGAAAAGTATTTTGAAAGTGTGAACATTCTGAAAAAAATTGGGAACAAAATTTGAAACATGAACATTTCGTGAAGTTTTGAACAATTTATGAGCAACATAATCTTTTTTTTTGAAAAAACGAAAATAAACTTGAAAACAGGAAAAATAAAAACGAAAAAAATGAAAAAGAAACAGAAAAAGGCAAAAAAAGAAAAAGAAAAAAACGGTTCAGGAACCTCCTAGAAGACCTCCTAGAAGGTTCCCAGAACCAGAGAAAACCGGCTGGGAACCAGCTAGAAAGTTCCCAAAACCGGAATGGCTGATAAGTTTAATGGGCTGGCCCATCCCGAACGGTCGTCACTGTCCCCGTGTGCGTCGCTGCAGCAGTTTGCCGCAAAGAGCAGCAAATAGGAAATACCGTCCTTCCCACCAGCGCCCATATACTGTTGGAATTTACTAGTAGCCTTTGGCTCAAAGCCCAATCAAAATTCTAAAATTCTCTTGGCGCATTCATTCCTACCTTGTGAGTGATGTGAGTGGGACTAAAGTTTAGTCCCACCCAGAAAGTTGAGAGAGACTTGCACCTTTTTACAATGTGAGTTCTTCTAACACTTGTATGAACATGAGAAGAGGAGACCTACACGCGCGCTCCTCCTCGCTCGCCTCGCCACGACACGCTGCGGGTTGCGGGAATGAGTTAAGGATAGAGCTATCCACGTTGTCTATATTTCTGTTGCTCGGGAATAATTAATAATTAATGGACACATTAATTACTCAGCCGTTTTTGATTCTTTTGGATCGTGGGGCTGTTACTTGGACGTGGTTTTCACCACGACCTACCCCGTGTCAACGCCAACGGTGCTGCTCCCATTGCACCGTATGTGATTCTGTCCTTCTTGTTCGAGTTTGTGGTAGAATTCATGTTTTTATTCTGTGCCCTAGAATCAATCTGTTCATCTACTATGCTAGTCCACAAGATTAACTTAATCTCTGTTATTGCTGTCATGATTTACTTTCTGCTTATTCGGATTAAATCTTGTAGTAATTTGCTCATATATTCAACAATACAAAAATCTGATTATAGGCAATTTACTCCGAGTGGTTTTGCTACGCATCTGAAGCCTCCTACCTTTAAGGGGGATGCAATATAAGAGGTGGCGCACGAGAGTAGTTTACTGGTTCCAGACAGTGTACTGCTATGACGCCACCAAGGGCAAGCCTGAGGACAATCTTGATCCTATGCAGCAGGAAGCTTTTGAGAAGATCGACGCCCTATTTAAATTCGCCCTTCCGAGTGTTTTGGATGATTCCATTGTGGATTCATATATGTCGTTTGACAACGGCAAGGACATGTGAGCTGCGCTCGAGGCCATGTTTGGGGCCTCAGACGCCGGTAGCGATTTGTACGTCATGGAGCAATTCTATGACTACAAGATGACTGATGAGCGCTCTGTTGTCCAGCAAGCTCATGAGATACAGTTGCTCGCAAAGGAACTTGAGTACTTCAAGTGTGTGTTGCCGGAGGCATCATTGCCAAGCTTCCACCTTCGTGGAACAATTTTGCTACTTCCCTGAAACACAAGAGACATGTGTTTTCTATTTCGGATCTCATTGGTACTCTTGATGTTGAAGAGAAGGCGAGACCAAAAGACACACGTGCTCGAGTTGCCGAGGGAGCTTCTAGTGCCCACATGGTATAGAAGAAGAACTACCAGCCCAACAAGTTCGAATACAACAAGAACAAAACTCATGGCAAATGCAAGTTTGATGCAAAGAACAAGTCGTGACATCCTACCAATTTCAAGAAGAATTATCATAAGAAGGGGAAGGGACTTTGCCATGTCTGTGGTGATCCTAATCCTTGGGCTCCGAATGTCCTAACCGCTTTGAGGAGCGCAGACATGAGAAGAGCGGCAAGTCTGCTAATGTTGTCATCGGTGATACTGATATGAAGGAATATGGGTACGATATTCTTCCTACCATCCTTTCAGTATTTCAGTCTCCTGATTATTTAATTCACACCAGGGCCAATGTACATGTTTGTGCTGATGCCTCCATGTTTTCTTCTTACCAGGTCACAGGGACTTCTCCGTGCTGGTGGCGAATGGGTCACATGCCATTATCCGAGGTGTCGGTACGGTCGATTTGAACTTTACTTTAGGGAAGATCGTGCGACTGAAGAACGTTCATCATGTGCCATCCATCAATAAGAATCTCGTCAGTGGATCCTGTTTATGTCGAATGGTTTTAAGTTGGTTTTTGAGTCCAATAAAGTTGTAATTTCTAAGTGTGGACAATTTTTTAGAAAAGGCTATGAGTGTGGAGGCTTGTTCCGTCTGTCTTTGTCAAATATGTGCACTAAAGTTATTAATAATGTTTGCCACGATAATGAGTCTAATATTTGGCATTCACGACTTTGTCATATTAACTTTGGTTGGATGACGCGGCTATCCAATTTGAGTTTAATTCCAAAATTCACCAATGTCAAGGGCTCCAAGTGCCAAGTGTGTGTGCAAGCTAAGCAACCTCCCAAGTCCCATAAGACTGCAGAGGCAAGATGAAGGAAATATGCCCTAGAGGCAATAATAAAGTTATTATTTATTTCCTTATATCATGATAAATGTTTATTATTCATGCTAGAATTGTATTAACCGGAAACATGATACATGTGTGAATACATAGACAAACATATAGTCACTAGTATGCCTCTACTTGACTAGCTCATTAATCAAAGATGGTTATGTTTCCTAACCATAGACATGTGTTGTCATTTGATTAATGAGATCACATCATTAGGAGAATAATGTGATTGACATGACCCATCCCGTTAGCTTAGCACTTGATCGTTTAGTATTCTGCTATTGCTTTCTTCATGACTTATACATGTTTCTGTAACTATGAGAATTATGCAACTCCTGTTTACCGGAGGAACACTTTGGGTACTACCAAACGTCACAACGTAACTGGGTGATTATAAAGGAGTACTACAGGTGTCCCCGAAGGTACATGTTGAGTTGGCGTATTTCGAGATTAGGTTTTGTCACTCCGATTGTCAGAGAGGTATCTCTGGGCCCTCTCGGTAATACTCATCACTTAAGCCTTGCAAGCATTATAACTAATAAGTTAGTTATGAGATGACGTATTACAGAACGAGTAAAGAGACTTGCCGGTAACGAGATTGAACTAGGTATTGGATACCGACGATCAAATCTCGGGCAAGTAACATACCGATGACAAAGGGAACAACGTATGTTGTTATGCGGTTTGACCGATAAAGATCTTCGTAGAATATGTAGGAACCAATATGGGCATCCAGGTCCCGCTATTGGTTATTGACCGAGAATGGTTTTAGGTCATGTCTACATAGTTCTCGAACCCGTAGGGTCCGCACGCTTAACGTTTCGATGACAGTTTTATTATGAGTTTATAAGTTTTGATGTACCGAA